ACCCCTCAGCCAATCTGCAATCCATCTGACTGTGTAGGCATCGATGCCACAGTCACCTAGTTTTTTAACTAGGATGGGGTGAGAGACGGTGTCAAAGGCCTTGCTGAAGTCCAGAAAGACTACATCCACCGCGACACCTGCATCCATGGCCTTTGTGACCTGATCGTAGAAGGCAATCAGGTTGGTCTGACATGATCTCCCCCTAATAAATCCATGCTGATGGGTTGGGTTGTTTTTGATCTGGAGGGATGTGGGTCGTGGAGATCCCCGGTGCTCAGTCCTCAGGCTTCTGCTACTGGCTTCCACGACCACAGTCCGCTCTTTGGAGAGAGAGGCAGCGACCTGCTGGGAAGGGGCGGTCTCCATCTCTCTCCGTTGGGGAGGAGGCTATTCTCGGCCAGACTGGCTGACCTGCTCCACTGGGCTTTAAACTAAGCCCGCCAGGGGATGGGGGGGGACTACTGCCACTGCTGGCCACTGAGCAGCCCTTGCAAAGCCAGCAGGCCAAGGCACATAAGGGATCCCACCCCAGCCCCAGCCCTGGAACAAAATGTAGGCAGGGCAAGGGTCCCCAAGAGCTTATACACAAATGCTAGGAGTCTGGGGAATAAACACGAGGAACTTGTTCTCCTGCTAAATGCAAATAATTATGATGTCACTGGGATAATGGAGACCTGGTGGGACTCCACCCATGACTGGACCAAAGGTATAGATGGCTATTCAGGAGCGATTGAGTGGACAAAAGGGGCAGAGGCATCGCTCTGTATGTCAAGGAAAGCTACGTGTCCCTACAAGCTGACATTGGCACCCATGGTGGATGACTTGAGACCCTCTGGGTTAAAATCCGTGGGGAACACAGCACAGGGGATACTATGGTGGGGGTCTACTACAGACCCCCTACCCAGAGTCAAGACCTTGACCAGGAGTTCACCAGGGAATTGGCTGAGGCCGCATGATCCCAGTGTATGGTTGTCATGGGAGACTAACTACCCAGACATCTCATGGGAGGAGCGCTCGGCCAAATCCGAGTGGTCGCAAAGCTTTCTCTCGTGTGTGGATGACCTCAGTGTGATGCAGGAAGTCTACGGGTTGACAAGAGGTAAAGCACTGCTCGACCTTGTACTGGCAACTGGGAATGATCTAATCAGCGATCTAATGATCAAAGGGAAGCTGGGTGACAGTGACCATGACCTGATCACCTTCATCATCTGCCGTAAGGCTGGGAAGTCAGTCAGTAATACAGAAGTCCTTGGCTTCAAGAAAGCTGACTTTGACATGCTAAGGAGGCTTGTCAGAGAGGCCCTAAAAGGCCACAACCCAATGGCAAGGGGAGTTCAGGATAAGTGGTTGTTCCTGAAGGGAGCAATCCTGGACATGCAAGCAAAGTCCATCCCATCTTGGAGGAAGGGCAGCAAAAGTGCACAGCAGCCCCCTTGGCTCTCCAGGGAACTGGCGGACCTCCTACATCTTAAAAGGAAGACCTACAAAGGATGGAGGACTGCAATCACCAACAAGGAGGAATACTCTGCTTTGGTCTGGACCTGCAGAGAGCAAATCAGGAAAGCCAAGGCCGTGATGTAACTCCAGCTAGATACAAATATCAAGGACAATAAAAAGTCCTTTTTTAGATGTGGGGAGCCAGAGGAAAAGCAAGGGGAACATTAGACCCCTGCTAAACCAGATGGGGCAACTGACAACTGACACCCAGGAAAAAGTGAACTTGCTAAATGGGTACTTTACATCAGTTTTTCACCATGCAACGGCCCTGCCCACTATGGGTCAAGGAGGCCCGGGTGAGGGAGATTCCTTGCCCTCCACTGAAGTTGACCTCTTGAAGGAACACCTTGACAGGCTGGATACCTTCAAGTCAGCCAGCCCTGATGGGTTACACCCAAGGGTACTCAGGGAGCTGGCGAACATAATAGCTCAGCCCCTGGCATGGATCTTTGAGACCTCTTGGCACTCTGGTGAAGTGCCTGATGATTGGAAGAGGGCCAATGTCATGCCTATCTTCAAGAAAGGGAGGAAAGTAAATCCGGCAAACTACAGGCCCATCAGCCTGCCTTCTATCCTGGGGAAGGTCTTGGAAAAGATTATCAAAGAGGCCATCCTTAACAGACTAGCTGAAGGCAATATCCTGAGGGATACCCAGCATGGGTTTGTTGTGGGTAGGTGTTGCCTGACCAATCTCATTTCCTTTTATAACCAGGTGACTTATCACCTGGGCAAGGGGGAAGAGATCCATGTTGTATATCTGGACTTTAAAAAAGCCTTCAATCTGGTATCCCACGATCACCTCTTGGCTAAACTGGCTAACTGGCCTCGACCTCATCACAATCCGCTGGCTGGGGAATTGGCTCTGCGGTAGGACCCAGAGGGTGGTGGTCAACGGGAGCCAATCCTCTTGGTGTGCTGTGACCACTGGGGTTCCTCAAGGCTCTGTCCTAGGGCCTATACTATTTAACATCTTCATCAATGATGTGGACATTGGTGTCCGAAGGGGACTGGCCAAGTTTGCCAACGACACCAAACTCTGGGGTAAAGCATCTACACCTGAGGACAGGAGGGTGATCCAGGTGGACCTTGACAGGCTCATGAAATGGGCAGATGAGAACCTGATGGTGTTCAACACTGAAAAATGCAAGGTTCTCCACCTTGGGAGGAAAAACCTGCAGCATGCTTATAGGCTCAGCAGTGCTACGCTGGTAAGCACTATAGATGAAAGGGACTTGGGGGTCATGATTGACCACAAGATGAACATAAGCCTTCAATGCAATGCTGCTGCTAGTAAAGTGAGCAAAACACTGGCTTG